ACATGCAATCTTTATGTCTATGGGGAGAAAAAGGTAAAATAATTAGCTATATAGTCAAGGGCAACCCTTTATTGTTATCTGTTCTTAAAAAATATAATATAGCAGCATAATATATTTAAAACCACATCCAATATTTTTCTGTCTTTGAGAAACAACAATCACAATTATGTGAATCTATCTAGTCTTCAATTGTATTTATTATGGTCTGCCTATCTCGGAAGGAAGGTTGGGCAATCCTACTTCCGTAGTGATACTGCCTCGGAAACCCAAGGAGAGGTCGCTATGAGTCGGGGCCGACTGGACGGCAAACAACAACAACAACAGCAAATCAGAGAAAGTAATTTTAGATTGGGTTAAACAATACAAAAGTATTTAACATTATATATTTATTTTAATTGTTAGTTACCTTAGCATTTTCAAATAGAGATAAAAACAAAGCACAAAGATAAGTGTTTATCAAAATTTGGAAGAACAGTGGTGGCTCCCGATTATACAAAACCTGTCCCTCCCTACACTCCACCAGATGCTGAAAATAACACCATTAATAATTCTAATAAACATATGCCATCTCCATATTTTAAGGCTTCTGTCACCTTTTTCTGTACTCTGAGTTAGAATATACATCATTATACCAAGAAACAGAACACATTTCTGAGATAAGTATTTTTTAATTTATTTCAGCTGCAGGTTATTGGAAAATACATTGTATATTTTTCAAACTTAAGGATTTATTTGACCATTTCTAAATTACTTTTAATTTTATAGCAAAAGAATTGAAAATATTCTGTATTGTATCACTACTTTTGAACTTAAAGAACTTTGTTTGTGGATTCATATATATTTTATTTCCTTAAATGTTCAGTATGTGATCAAAACTAATATTCACATTTTGTTAGAGATTATTCTATACGTACAATAGTTCAAAACTATTCCTTGTATTTTTAACATCTTTAATGGATATGTTTATTGATTTTTCCTGAGAATCCTATCACTTATAGACTGATAGGTGTTGAAGCTGCATTCTTAGTATATATACCATTATTATGTTTATACTTCCAATTATTTGCTTTTATTTCTTTAAAAAATTGCTTGTATATGTTTTCCTTTATATCTGTGTACCTTAAATTATATTTGCCAAGCATTAATATTGCAGCCATTTTGACTTTTTCCATGTTGTTTTGCATAAATTTTCATTGGCTTATGTATTTAATTTTTTTCAATTTTTTAAATTAATACATTTGTGTATATTGTCCTATCCACTTAATTTTAGTCTTTTTACATTGTTTTCAAAACTCATTCACTAAATTTAATCCATTTCTATTTATCATGAGTTGTAATACATTGGAAATGTATTATGCCATCTTATTTGACATTTTTCTTGCCATTGAATAAATAATTTTACTTTATCTTCTCACCTTTTTATTTCTTTCCATTGGAAAAATCAAATTTTCTTCTGTGGTGTCACAGTTATATGTTCTAATTTTGTTACAATAATTACTAATTAACACAAGCCCCTTTGGTCACCCTGCCGTGTTCCTAATCAAGCTTGTTTTTATTTCTTCTTCAAGATATTTATTAATTATCACTCCAGACAACTCTTTCATATTTTGCTGTACTTTTATCTCTTCACTGAGTACTTCCTCCAAGAGAGTTTGCAAAATGGAGCTTTGTGTGACAATTCTTCTTAAGTCTCATACCCTTTAGCAGTTGAATATCAAATTGGGACTCACTTTGTGAGTAAGGAGCACTGGTGGTGCAGTGGTTAAAGCATTTGGCTGCTATTCAAACAGACAATGATTCAAATCCATGAGCCATTCAGAGGAAGAAAGATGAGGCAGTCATCTCTGTAAAGATTTAAAGCCTTGGAAAGTCTACAGGGGTCGCTATGAATTGGAATGTACTTGATGGCAGTGAGTTTGGTTTTCTGGAAGGAGCTTTGGTGGCATAGTGGTTAAAGCATATGACTTCTAACCAAAAAGTTCAGTGGTTTGAACCCACCAACTCTTCTGAGGGAGAAAGATGAGACAACCTGCTTTTATAAAGATTTACAACCTGGAAAATCCTAAGGAAAAATTCTACTGTGTCTTAAATGGTCACTAGGAGTCAGAATTGACTGGATGGCAGTGGGGTATGGGTTGACTTGTGAGTGAGTTAGGACTCACTTTAAATGTGACCATTTGAAGTTTTGGTCTCAATAGTGAGCGCTTCCTATAGTAATCACACATTTTCTACTTAGCACATCACCTGGTTATATCAAAATTTTCATTTCTAATTGAAAGATTACACATAATAAACCAAATTTTATTTTTTATGGTTTAATTTTCTAAAATATAAAATAGATAAGGCAAATCCTATTGAGGAATAAATTATGTTTCTCTTTCTCCACACACATGGGCACACATATATACACATACATACCATGTGTATGGATACCCATACGTACAGTTATATATATATTAAAATATACAAATCTATTAAAAATTATATTTAGAAACAAAATAGCAAATAAAAAAGAAGTCATTATTAAAGAAAATACAAACTGATGGATTAAAAGACCATCTCAAAAATCTAATAATGATTTATAATAAGGAAAATAAGCCATGGTTAACCTGATCACAAATGGATAAATAAAAATGTCTGATTCTCATAGAAATGGAATATGTCTAACTCTCTAGGAACATGACAGTATCAGATGATCAAAATTTGCTTTAAAGATCAGTTTTGGGCAACTGTTGTTAAGCCATAACAAGATGACTTTGAACAATGTAAGTACAGCTGAGGAAATAGAGCATTCTCATTATTAACATAGGGATATTTCATTTTGGTATTCCTTTTGTCAGATATTTATTCTTACCCATTTCTGATAATTCTTGCTATGTTAATGGTAGACCAAAAAGTTTTAAATTGTTGCAAAAATAAGTAGTAATCCTAATGCTAATCCTAATGCTACCAATGAAAACTGCTATGACATTGAGGTTGTTTACAATCCACTATGCTCCCTGCTTAACATGATGCATGTATCTTATCATATAATTATATATATATATATATATATATATATATATATATATATATATAAATGATATCCATAGTACTAGACTGCTACTTACAATGAATGACCCTCAGAAAAATAAAATAGTTTGCTTCTATTCACCCAGCTGAGAAGTGATAGAGACAAAATTGAAATGGGAAAGAGAGAAGGAAGGTGATGACATTAATTAGTTTTTGTGGGAGTCATGGAGTTGATTATCAACTCAACATTATCAATTCCATGGGACAGAGTGGAACTGTCTCATAGGACTTTCTTGGCTATTCTTTTTGGTAGTAATTATTTATTCTGTAGAGTCTTTAGGTTGATCTGAACTGCCAGTCTTTTGGTCAGCAGTGATTCATTTAACTGTTGTGCCACCAGGGCTCATTATGGTAAGGTAGGACCACCATTAGGACATTTCTGATGAAGGAAAGCATCTTTCTGTGTGTGGAAGAAATCCCTCTCTCAATGTTCCAAGTTGAGCCCTTAAGGAGGCACTTCAAGTAATTTGAGATAACGGTGTTTGAAATGAGGGTGATGTGATGAATCCTGACTCTTTCTCTTCCCAACTACACATTTCTTGTCCATGTTATTTCCCAATCTCAGATACTTTAATTTTAGCTTTTGGTATTTCAAAAGTTACAGCTTTCTTATTCTTGGACGTTAGACACAAATTTGTACAAAATATTGGAATGATCATGAGTTCATAGCTAAAAGTCATGGCTGCTCCACCAATGTCTGTGTAAATACAAGCTAGAAACTTACCTTCTCTGAGTTATTCTATTTCAGAAAAGAACAGAAAAAAAAAAAAAGTGTATGGTTTTAATATGAGAACCTAAAATATAATATGTGTGAATGGTTCTGTTATCCTCTATTGTCACACTTCATGGCGAGGCTATGGAGAAATCTAGGTTAAATATGATAGATCAAGGCAGAAGTTACATTGCAATTGGGGCTACTTAGAAGACTGGGTTGCTGATGCCGAAAACATGTCTATTCTGGCATATAGCATCTGGTTTCCAGTGAGACAGATAGTAGGCTGTATTTCAGTAAGCAGTTACTGTTGGTACAGCATAGGAAAAGGGGACCAACATGGAAGTCCTTATAGACTGACAAACCAGATAACAGGAAATCCATTCACAGGAAGCAATCATGGCCCTAGGAAGTCAGCATCATTATTAGAAAGCCTGTCCCCAGGAAGCAGGTGTCCCAGATATCAGAACCAAAACTGCATACCTTAATCAAACAAAGATGTTAAAGAAAGTCCTGAAAAAAAGAAAGACAGTATGCCAGTTCATATAATGACTAAGGTCTCATGTAATTTATCTAAAGGGGAACTCAGGCTGAGGAAATAAGATAAATAGGTACCAGGTCTGGAGAATAAGGTAGAAACCAAGTGTTCTAAACTGGTGTTGAGTGCACCATCCTTTTTGCTTATGTTCAATAACAGTCATAAGAGTTGAATTACGGGGTCAAGTGAATATTATCTGGGAGAAAGAAAATCTAGAGAGTAGTGAGTTAAGTTTTATTCTTATACCTTGAGGTATTTTAGAATCATTTCTGGAGCTGATTAAAAATGCAGACATTTTATTCCCACCTTTGAGAGATTTCTATTCAGTGAATGTGAGATGTGACTTAGATATATGCTTAATTTAATTGACCTCATGGTCATATCTGACACATCCCACAATCCTAGAACCACTGATGTGGGACTGACACCAGCACTCCTGTGTCATTCTTAACCTTGATTTCTCATTCATGAAATTAGAGTCAGGAATTAGCAGGCCACTAAGAATCAAATATACCATTAAGTTTTTCTTGGAATAAGTGCTGATCAAGAATTTTTTCTGATCATGGTGACTGAAATGTCCTGTATTGTATTTCCATATTTATAGGTGTGTTTGTTCTATAGCTATCTAGGAAAAAAAAAAGTCACAATTTCCTAGACCCCAAAGTAGTGGATACTTACAGTAGCCTGGTGTTTTTCTGCTTTCTCAGATGTCTCTTTAAGTTGATTTTGAAGGGCCTCCTGGAGAGACTTCATTTCTTCTCTAGTTTAAAAGAAAACAGAGAACAAAAGACAGACATAATTCTGTTATTTTCTCTCTACGTTAGCAAAGGGGTTTGTGTTTTTCTGCCTTCATTTGGGAAACAGATAACTAGACATGTATAGAGCCACAATTAAACATATAGGATGCATCTAGTAAATTTGGTAATAGAGGGTCTTTTCTCCCATGCAAACACCCAACACAAGCTGAGTTTAAATGAAATCACCTTGCTAGTAGGTGTGATAAGAATCTAATTGTTTCAATTCTCTGTGAGCTGCATAATATGTTAAATCAAGTCAATATAATATTTTGAATTGAAAGCTCATTTCACTGAGAGCACACCAGCTTGTGAACATGCCAGTTAGAAACAGTTACTCAATCCTTTGGACAAAATTAATTTTCCCTTTAATATCCCTGATTGATTGTTTTAAAAGTATTGGGCTTTAGACATCTCTTAGGAAGGCTGAGAGTGTTTGTAAAAGTGAGGTGAAAATGTATTTCTAACTGGAGATCTGTCTCATTTCCTGGCAAATATATCTATATCTATGTCTATATTTATATCTATATCTATATGTATCTATGTATCTGTGTATCTATCTATCTATCCACACACACACATACACACACTGTGTCCCAAGCTTATTAATAAATATGGACAATGTCTTACTTGATTAAAATAGAAACATGCATACCCTTGAAGAATTCAATACATACTAATTTATAGCAAATCATATTATCCTTCTGAGTCTCTATCAGATCATGTAAGCTATCACTCAAAAGGATCATAAATTAGATAAGAGTTTGTGTGTGTGTGAATTCTGACTAGAGGAATAGAGTCTCCCAAAACAACAGCAACTATATAGAAACCTATTCCAGATTTACCAACACCCAGGCTAGTTTAACATTTCCAATGTAGTGCCAAAAGGCTAGTTCTAGAGCCTGGATAAGTGATGTAAAGCTTCTCAGATTCAGTTTCTCCATCTATAACATGATCACAAAGATAGAACTAAGCCATGGATTTATGATGAAGTTTAAAAGGCAAATGCAGGCAAAACACTTAGCACAATGCCTTGAAAATAATAGTCAATACATTTTAGATTACTGCTACATCTACCAACAACCCTCTGGGCTCCTATGTTCATTTTTTGACCACTCTTCCCAAATAATCACAAGCTGCTCTTTCATCCAGAGGGAATTAATGATACTCCAATATTTCTTACTCTAGAAAATCTTCATAGCTATATGACTCAAATTCAGTTATGAATGAGAGTATATATATTCTTGAAATCAATATGGACTTTTTTTGGCAAAGCAAAATATCACTGGAACAAGTTACAGAATAATCACAGACCCTGGAGTTTTGGGGTGACTAATTGCTTGCTTGGTGAAAATTATCATAGCGTGTATTTCATATAGTGGATTTTATGCCTCACCTTCCATTTGTTCCCAACACTAACTCATTTATCAGACTTGTTCCACATATGGACATTTAAAATCTAGGCATCCATTATTATTTCTGATATTATGTACAAGGGAGCTCTGATGGCGTAATGCCTAAGGCATTTGACTGCTAATCAGAAGGCTGACAATTCAAACCCACCAGCCACTCCTCGGAAGGAAGATTGGGCAATCTACTTCCGTAGTGATACTCCTTTGGAAACCCAAGGTTGGGTCATTATGAGTGGGATCCGACTCCACAGCAGTGAGTTTGGTGTTTGGTTTGGTATTATGCACAAAGATCATTTGTGGCATAATATTAAAAAATAAAACATACAGTAATATCTAAATATATATTTATTGTAGGCTTAGAATGTGTCAGGCACATTTCAAAGTCTCATATCAACCTATTACATTATATAACAGATAGAAAACTGATGCTTAGAGAAGTTGTAGAGTTGTGATCAAATCCCAAAGTCTAGATTCCAGAATCTATGCTTATAAACTATAGAGAGCCATTACACTACCTTTATTAGAAAAAGAGAGGAAGGAATGGAGGGAGAGAATGGGGGAGGGAAGGAAGAAATAAGATAGGTACTGAATGAAAACACAATAGAGCTGTCATATTTCCATGTGAAAAAAAGTTCTTACAAAGGACTGGAGAAAGTAGAGCATTCTCTGCTTTCTCATGTCAAGAAAAACTCAATGGGAGAAATGAAGTGGGCCTTTGCCTTTGAATTTCTCCATCTCCTTTCCTACCTTCTAGCTTCATTTCTGCACATGCTCACTGTTCTCACATTTTAGGCTGCCCCACATCCCTGTTTCACAGACTTAACTAAGTTATCTTCTTAGGGGATATGATTCTTGACTTGCTTTTGGACCACATGCCTCCACCAAGTGGGATTTGCACAGACTTTGAGGCTCTATTTGATACCAATTTGAAACTTTAATTCTAAAGGATTGATGGCTCTAGTGGCATCTGTGATGCAAAAATAAATAAATAAATAAATAAATAAACCCACTGTCATCAATTGATTCTAACTCATAGTGACCCTTTAGGACAGAATAGAATGCCCCATAGGGTTTCTAAGGCTGCAAGTCTTTATAGAAGCAGACTCCTTCATCTTCCTCCTATGGAGCAGCTGGTGGGTTTGAACCACTGACCTTTTTGGTTAGCAGCCAAATGCTTTAACCACTAAAGTTCCTTGGCATCTGTGATAGGTTTCTCAAATATTAATTAAATACAGTTTAGCATAGAATTTCAAGGTAAGAGAGATCTTAAATGACACCTATTTCACATCTTTTCTATCCAAAATTACAAAAACAAAAACACAATCACCCAAATTACTCTACAGGGTAACTTTCCTTGCAAGTGGGCACCAGCTTGTATTTTAATATAATAACAGATGGAGAACTTGCCGTTATCACAGACATTCTTTCAGTTTTCAAGGAACAATGGTGTAAAGTTCTTTAGTATACTGAGTCTCAAAGGGCTTTCCTGGGATTTCCACCCAACTGAGCAACTTAGAGAATAAAACTTTTTTTTTTTCCTTCCTTTCAAGACAGATTTTCAGACACTTCATTATACTATACTATCCCCAAGGTTATTTATTTATTTTGTTACACATTATCACTTTTCACATCACTCACTGCCATCAAGTTGGATCTGACTCATAGTGACTCCTCCTTGGGTTTCTGAGGCGGTATCTCTACTTAAGTAGATTGCCTAACCTTCCTTCTGAGGAGTGTCTGTGGGTTTGAACTGCCAGCCTTCTGGTTAGCAGCCAAATGACTTAGGCACTACACCACCAGAGCACCTACTCACATACTGTTGTTGCTGTTGTTATGTGCCGTCAAGTCAGATGTGACTCCTTGGGTTTCTGAGGCAGTATCACTATGGAAGTAGATTGCCCAACCTTCCTTCCAAGGAGTGGCTGCTGGGTTTGAACCACCAGCCTTCTCGTTAGCAGTCAGTGCCTTAGGCACTATGCTACCAGAGCTCCTCCTATTCACATAGTATGGTTTAAAAATCTCTCCACCTACTTGGAGACTTTTATGTGATTTATCTGGGCCATCAAAGTACTTCCAAAAACATGACACTCAAGAGTCAACACAGATCCCTCTGTCTGTCTGTCTTTCTTTCTCTCTCCAGAAAGGCATTCTCTGTTTTTTTCTCTATATATGGTTATATATGGCCAACCCATATCCCTCAAGCTTACCTATAGTTCTAATTTCTGTACCACAGAGAAATCAATTAATTGTCTCTTGTTTACAACCCCAAGAGGGGAATTCTAATTTTTTCAGTTTTGGGGAGCCATCTCTAAGCCATGGTTTCTAGAGACAATTCCTTCCAGTAAAGGCAAGATGGCAAGAATCCAAAGGACAAGGACATTACTGAGAGTTGGAGTATAGCCATTTGACACCTATAACACATTGCACTCTTTCAGATTCAAGTAATCCTTACAAATTTATAATCCATTAAGATTTTTCATATTTTAAGATTTTATTTTCTCTCCTTTGTTGTTTATTAATATCTGTAACTTTGGAAATGAGATACTAATTCCTATTCACAATCAAATAAACACATTTTTTATACTTATCTTTCTAAATAAACAAAAAACTTAATATAGCAAATATTACATCAACTTGAATAATTACCTATTGTTAGAATCTATCAAGTTTTTCATTATGACTTTAATTATGTAAATAATACAAGTTATGCATTTTAAACTAATTTTCTAATTTTGTATAAAGCTTTATAATCACATCATCAAAATATCTGCTCTATTTAGTCCTTTCAATGAAAGACAGTCCATCACCTAGATAGTTTGTGCACTATGATAAATGTTTAAATTACAATCTTTAATTCCTAGTAAATTTGATCACATTTGTCCTGATCTGCCTTGGTGTTTGTGTGTCATGTAGGAACAGCTACAGCTAATTTAAAGAAACATCAGCAAACTAAAAAAAAAAAAAAAAAAAAAAGCTTCTTCTTGTCCACATTATGGATAAACGGATAAGCCAACTTCCTCGTCCGTGTGTCTTCTGAGGTGAAGAAAGGCTGCATCTATTGTTGTTTCCTTTCACCCCATCATACTCACTGTGGTGATCTTCCTGCTCCCATCAATAAGCTCTCTTATTCCATGCTGGTCTGTCTCTTTGCTTTCTACTCTGTACAATGTAGGCAGAATAATTTCCTTAAAATACTTCTTCCCTTATATCATTCTCCTACCAAACAAACAAATGAAGCAACACTCACTGCCATGGAGTAGGATCTGACTCATAATGACCCCTCCTTGGGTTTCTGAGGCCGTATCACTACGGAAATAGGTTGCCCAACCTACATACTACCCTAAATGAGTCCTGTAGTGCTTATTACTCACATCCAATCTACCTCAACTTTTAAGAGTTTTTACCTCTGGGTCTACTCTAAGCATCCAGCGTAACTGTCTGATCTCCTTGACTCACTTGTCCTCTTCAATCACACAATACCCACACGTGCTGCTTGTGTAGAATGCAGAGGTCATTTCAATCTTCATATTATTATTTATCCTCCTTTCCCAACGTGGAATGTTCTACAGAGTCATCATTTTCAGTGTTGTTTTGTATCTTGTGATAAGTTATTTCTATTCATAATGCCATTTATAATTATTCACCACTAACTCAATGAACCACAAACACTTGATCAACTTGGATCATAGTCATGTTGAAGGGTAACTTATTTCAAATCTATAAAATCCTTTAAAATGATACAGTTTTGAAAACCTGTGCTCAGACCCATATTTATTTCAAATTCTTTTCAATATTTGACCTTGAAGAGAATCCATTCTAAAGAATAATAGACATTGCAAATAATAAAATAACACTCAACACAAAATATTCTGAAACCTTTCATCAAAAATTGTTAACTTAATCCAAATAAATGCAAATAAGAGGTTTCTGGCCAAGAGGTAAGGTTGGTGAAGAAGATGTAGGATGGTGAGAAGGAACTTGAAATATATTCCACTAGACATTTTGTGTATAAATTTTTAAGAGCCTTTTACTTTGTGATAAGTTTAGAATGTGGAAGAACATGGCTGCTGAGTAAGACACAGTTGTGGGTTTAAGTCTCAATCCCAAATAACATGACTCTGAGCACTTCCAACAACAACGTCTTATCTACAAAATGGAGAAAATAATATCCACTTTATAAGACAGTTGTAAGGATTAAGCAAGACAATGTACATAAAGCATCTAGCTGAGCCTCTAGTTAATGAATAATGGATGCCTGTTTGTTTCTCCCTTAAATTGTCTTGGCTTTCTTTTCTTTTTATCTTTGACAAGCAACTTCAGAATCACATGGCCTTTTATAATATATAGATAACTATTTCATAATGCATTGCCTGAAAAACAAACACTACTATTACTGTACTAATTCTGCATGCATTGTTAATAACATTACCCATTCTTTACCATCACTACAATTACCACCACAATTAAGTTTTGATTCCTTTAAAAGCAATCCACTAAATATGCTTGATAAGTAGACTTATCTAAGAACATCATACTAAAGTAAGTAGGGTTAGAGTACTATAGATCTTAAAGACTCAAATTTTGACTTGTAGACAAGCAGCATCAGCTTCAGTTGTTGTTGTTGTTGTTGTTATGTGCCGTCGAGTCGGACCCAACTCATAATGACTCCCCCTTGGGTTTCCAAGGCAGTATCACTACAGAAGTAGATTGCTTCATCTTCCTTCCGAGGAGTGGCTGGTGGCTTTGAACCGCCAGCCTTCTGGTTAGCAGTCAAGTGCCTTAGGCACTATGCTACCAGAGCTCCCATCAGCTTCAGTAAGGCTTATAAAAATGCAGAATCTCAAGTTCTGCCCCAAACAAGTAGTATCAGAATCTACACCTGAACGAAAACCTCAGATGAATCATGTGACATACAAGCATGGGAAGCACAGTTTTGATAACTAGGAGGTTAAACACATTCAGAAATTTTACTGAGATCTGTTTATTACAAATGTATGAACTGAATTTTCTTACTTCCCAGCTGTTGGGAGAGTATAGAAAGCATTACCTTATGCTTTATGTGATGCTAAAATAATCTAGACTTTTGTCCCTGTTTTAACTATTGTCCTTGAATCCTGTCTACATGACTGGAGCACATTTCACAGATTAGATGGGAAAAATGAAATCTCACATAAGTCACTACAGTGAAAAGAACTGAGGAGAAAAAAAAAAAAAAAAAAAAAAGCAGAAATCAGAGTCTTACCTTTGTTTCTGGCCTAATTCCAAAAGCTTCTGAACATCAGTTTTGGCGGATTGCTCATCATTTTTCAAAGACTGACAATAAAAGTTGGAAAAGGAGATCTTATTCAGGTGATAAATCGAAGCTACTTTACTTTTGACTCTATGGTACACAGTGTATCTGCACCTATGTCCTGAAACAAGAATGCACAAATAGGCTGTTCTAATCCTCATGGCTCTAAGGAAACACAGAAGAATTTTTGACACAAACTAGTTCACATGCTGCCAAGCAAGTCAAATAGCATGAGTTGAATATAGGCCTTTAGAGGATTCAAAGGAGCAGAAATGACTATCCAAGTATCTGATGTCCTTGGAAGTGGATATAAAATATATCTTTTGCTCTTTGGAGTTTTGTGTTTTCTGCAGGTATATTAACCAGTTCCAGCTTAGTTTCTACCAATACAAGGGAACATAAAAGTCTTCCCTACGTAAGCCAGGAAATAACACAATGCAAGATCAAAGCAGTCAAACGCATGCACCTGTTTAATATTATCTATCTATTATTTGTGAGTAATTTATTAGAATATGTAGAAAAACTATGATCATGTAAAATTTTAACTGGATAGTATAGATAAAATACAAAGGGAAAAAGTATAACACCTCTATCATTAGTGGACATTTAATCTGGAAAATTCAGCAATCACAGATCAGTAATTAAAACATAAGAACTCAGAGCTATTTCTCGTAAGAGAAACTGTCCCATTAAAACTTCCTGAAGAACTTTCTTATTTGTATTTGTTAAACTATTCAACGAAAAAGGTATTTTTTCTTGATATCAAAAATTGCAATTGAGACACAATAATACTGTTTGCTGGAGCACTGGTAGCAATGTGGTAGAAGAGCAGCTGTGGTAGGTAGGGGTTTGACAACAGCAAAAAGGACAAATACTGTGTGCTTAATATTTAACAAAATTTTTTCATGATTGGAGTCTTAAAACCTTTCAAGAGTGCAAAAAAAAAAAAAAAAAAAAAAAAAAA